AAAGGAGAATTGGACCTGCCTCGCATGGGCCAGTAGGCCTGCTGCAGTGTTCTTTCTTATGTTCTTAAGTGTTTACAGGGTGTAGTGTTGTGAGGTGTGTTAGCAAGATGAAAGGTGGCAGACATTCTCCACCTTGATTGAGGAACGGCTCAGGACGCCACGATACCCGCAAGATATCGGAAAAAATTTTGTCAGTTGATGCGTGGTGGTGTAAGCTTAGTGTGCGTTAGTGGTGTGTGGTGTAAGCTTAGTGTGCGTTAGTGGTGTGTGGTGTAAGCTTAGTGTATGTTAGTGTTGTGTGGTGTAAGCTTAGTGTGTGTTGGTGGTGTGAGGTGTGGTGGTGTATGGTGTGGTGGTGTGTGGTGTAAGCGTAGTGTGCGTTAGTGGTGTGTGGTGTAAGCTTAGTGTATGTTAGTGGTGTGAGGTGTGGTGTAAGCTTAGTGTGCGTTAGTGGTGTGTGGTGTAAGCTTAGTGTATGTTAGTGGTGTGTGGTGGTGTGAGGTGTGGTTGTGTGTGGTGTAAGCTTAGTGTGCGTTAGTGGTGTGTGGTGTAAGCTTAGTGTGCGTTAGTGGTGTGTGGTGTAAGCTTAGTGTGCGTTAGTGGTGTGTGGTGTAAGCTTAGTGTGCGTTAGTGGTGTGTGGTGTAAGCTTAGTGTGCATTAGTGGTGTGTGGTGGTGTTAGTGTGAAGTGTGGTGGTGATAGTGAGAGGTGTGGTGGTAGTGTGAAGTGTGGTGGTGATAGTGAGAGGTGTGGTGGTAGTGTGAAGTGTGGTGAGAGTGTGGTGGTGATAGTGTGAAGTGTGGTGAGAGTGTGGTGGTGACAGAGGTGTGGTGGTGATAGTGAGAGTGTGGTGGTGATAGTGTTGAAGTGTGTGTGAGAGTGTGGTGGTGACAGAGGGTGTGGTGGTGATAGTGAGAGTGTGGTGGTGATAGTGTGAAGTGTGGTGAGAGTGTGGTGGTGATAGTGAGAGGTGTGGTGGTAGTGTGAAGTGTGGTGAGAGTGTGGTGGTGATAGTGAGAGGTGGAGTGTGGCTATGATAGTAATAATGAAACCAGTAACAGTGGAATGGTAGCCAGAACACCATACACACACATCCCTGGTATTACAATGGTACCAAAGGTACCTACCATTACAACCATCTTCCTCACACTTCAGTCCTAACAGTCACCTCTTCTTCCCACCATCTTCTCTTCTTCTCTTCTTCTCTTCTTCTCTTCTTCTCTTAAAAATCAATATTTTTATTCAATTTGCAATTCATCAATTTGCTTTTCAACTCTTGACAGACTCAATTAAATTCTCTTGGAGGGTTTTTCTGAAGGGCTCTTGATCCGAGGACTTTGATCATCCCTACCATGTAAATAATAGATTTAAAGCTTCTAGATTAATAATGTTAGGGTAGGGAGGGTTAGCCACCCAGGATAACCTGGGGTAGGGAGGGTTAGCCACCCAGGATAACCTGGGGTAGGGAGGGTGAGCCACCCAGGATAACCTGGGGTAGGGAGGGTTAGCCATCCAGGATAACCTGGGGTAGGGAGGGTTAGCCACCCAGGATAATGGGGGGGTGGGGGGGTTAGCCACCCGGGAAACCGGGGGGTAGGGGGGGTTACCACCCAGGATAACCTGGGTAGGGAGGGTTAGCCCCCCAGGAAAACCCTGGGGTAGGGAGGGTTAGCCCCCAGGAAAACCCGGGGGTAGGGGGTTAGCCACCCAGGTAATGGGGGGTAGGGGGGTTAGCCCCCCGGGAAAACCCTGGGAGGGAGGTTCCACCCAGGATTGGGGGTAGGAGGGTTAGCCACTCGGGAAAACCCGGGGGGTAGGGGGGTTACCACCCAGGATAATGGGGGGGTAGGGGGGGTTTAGCCACTCAGGAAAACCCGGGGTAGGGGGGTTAGCCACCCGGGAAACCCGGGGTAGGGGGGGTTTTTAGCCCCCAGGAAAAGGGGGGAGGGGAGGGTTAGCCACCCGGAAAAACCTGGGGTAGGGGGGGTTACCCCCCAGGATAATGGGGGTAGGGGGGGTTAGCCACTCAGGATAACCGGGGGTAGGGATTTTTAGCCCCCAGGTAATCGGGGTAGGGGGGGTTGCCCTCAGATAACCTGGGTAGGGAGGTTACCCACTCAGGAAAAACCCTGGGGTAGGGGGTTTTACCACCCAGGAAAATCGGGGGTTGGGGGGGTTTTAGCCACCCGGAAAAACCCTGGGTGGGAAGGTAGCCACCCAGGATAATGGGGGGTGGGAGGGTTAGCCACTCCGGAAACCTGGGGTAGGGAAGGTTACCCACCCGGGAAATCGGGGGTTTTGGGGAGGTTACCCACTCAGGTAACCGGGGTTAGGGGGTTACCCACCCGGGAAATGGGGGGTAGGGGGGGTTACCACTCCGGATAACCTGGGGTGGGGAAAGGTTAGCCACCCGGATAATGGGGGGTGGGGGGGTTAGCCCTCAGGATAACCGGGGGTAAGGAGGTTAGCCACCCAGGATAAGGGGGGGTAGGGGGGGTACCCACTCAGGAAAACCCTGGGGTAGGGGGGTTAGCCCCCCGGTAACCTGGGGTAGGGAGGGTTACCCCCCCCAGGATAACCTGGGGTAGGGGGTTTACCACCCAGGATAACGGGGGAAAGGAGGGTTCCACCGGTAACCGGGGGTAAGGAGGTTACCACCCAGAAAACGGGGTAGGGGGGGTTGCCACTCAGGAAAAACCGGGGGTAGGGGGGTTTTCCACTCGGGAAAACCTGGGGGGGAGGGTTACCCACCCAGGATAATCCGGGGTAGGGAGTGTTAGCCACTCGGGGATCCCCAAACAAATCAGTGCTCATCAAGGACTGTCGGTCTTTTTTCCATTGTGGCCCTTTAAATTTAAAATTTGTCCCCCCAGGATGCCAAGCAATAGTCCATAACTCCAGGTACCTACTTATGCTAGGTGAACGGGGACAGCACGTGAAGGAAAATGCCAACATTTCCACCCGTGTCGGGGCGAACCGCGAACACCCAGGTTGAGGCGGAGGTCCACCCCGGGCCCCATGCACCCAGATTCCTATATCCGCACTAAAGGGGAAATTTTTTTTTTACCATGTAATAAACTTTAAAAACGATTTTTTGGTTTTGGATTAAAATTTCAGCATGGGTTTATCCTACTTTTGAAAAAAATGATATTGGAGTGAAAATTATAGTTTTTAATTGTACTAATTTTTTTAAAAACCGTGTTTTTTTTCCGGGGATATAAGGGGCACGACAGAACTTCATAACGGAGTCAGTTTTCAAGCGTGCCTAAGCCTTCCCTTGACCCTGACATTGGCATATAAGGGGCAGGCGATTTCCAAGCTTTTTTTGGGTAAAACGGCGCGCCTTTTTTAAGCCGGAAAATACGGTAATTTAAAATGACTTTTTTTAACGGGAAAAAAGCAGAATAAAAAAAAAAACCTTTATAATGTTTTTCAGCAGTAATATATTGTTATGCAATTACCTTCAGTTGTTTAAAGATAATTTTTTTTAAAATTTTTTTTATTTTTATTTAATCAAAAAAGAGGGGTAAGCCACAAGGACTATCAGCGCTGCAATGGGTTTTTTCAATATAAAAGTAAATGGTATAATTTAGGCATTGTATTATTTTTAAACGGGGATGTTTTTGCATGGGTTTTTTTTTTTCCCAAAATTCCTTCTCCTCCTGAGGTAGGTCGACCTGGAAAAAGAAAAAACTAAGTTTTTCTTGCTACAGGATGTGTTATTACCTCCTTGTTCCCGCCATTTTAGTAGCCTCTTACGACACGTATGGCTTACGGAGGAAGAATTTTGTTCCAGTTTCCTATGGAGATAAAAGGAAATAAGAACAAGAACTTTTAAGAGAAAATTCAAATAGATGTGTCTACATATATGTATGTGAGTACATGCATATGTAGTGTGACTCGAGTGTATGAGGCAGGAAGGAAAGACGCCAGCAAGCCTGTCATCGTGTAAAACAATTACAGGTTTTTGTTTCACCCTTATATGACAGGACGGTAGTGCCTCCCTGGGTGGTTGTTGTCTACCAACCTACTACCACAGGACGGTAGTGCCTCCCTGGGTGGTTGTTGTCTACCAACCTACTACCACAGGACGGTAGTGCCTCCCTGGGTGGTTGTCTGCCAACCTACTACCACAGGACGGTAGTGCCTCCCTGGGTGGTTGTTGTCTACCAACCTACTACCACAGGACGGTAGTGCCTCCCTGGGTGGTTGTCTGCCAACCTACTACCACAGGACGGTAGTACCTCCCTGGGTGGTTGTTGTCTACCAACCTACTACCACAGGACGGTAGTGCCTCCTGGGTGGTTGTCTGCCAACCTACTACCACAGGACGGTAGTACCTCCCTGGGTGGTTGCTGTCTACCAACCTACTATCACAGGACGGTAGTACCTTCCTGGGTGGTTGCTGTCTACCAACCTACTATCACAGGACGGTAGTACCTCCCTGGGAATTTGTCTACCAACCTACTACCACAGGACGGTAGTACCTCCCTGGGTGGTTGTTGTCTACCAACCTACTACCACAGGACGGTAGTACCTCCCTGGGTAGTTGCTGTCTACCAACCTACTATCACAGGACGGTAGTACCTTCCTGGGTGGTTGCTGTCTACCAACCTACTATCACAGGACGGTAGTACCTCCCTGGGAATTTGTCTACCAACCTACTACCACAGGACGGTAGTACCTCCCTGGGTGGTTGTTGTCTACCAACCTACTACCACAGGACGGTTAGTACCTCCCTGGGAGGTTGTTGTCTACCAACCTATTACCATAGGACGGTAGTACCTCCCTGGGAGGTTGTTGTCTACCAACCTACTACCACAGGACGGTAGTACCTCCCTGGGAGGTTGTTGTTTACAAACCTATTACCATAGGACGGTAGTACCTCCCTGGGAGGTTGTTGTCTACCAACCAACTACCTAATCATGTCTTCTGGTATAGTATGTTAATTGGTGTATGTTTCATAAAGATATTGACTTTTGTGTTCTTGCTTTTCACAGAGCGTCGAGAGTCGTCAACGTTGGACGTGTTGCTGTCATCTACATACTCTCGCTCACAGCTCTATCTCTCCAAGCAGCTAGCTCTGCTCCACCCTGAGCTGACCATGCCTATGTTTTCTGGTAAGTATACCTCCCCTTAAGTAAGGTTAGTCAGGAAACAAGACAAGTATTACCTGACGCGGGTCTTAGTCATATGATGACCCACAACTGGAGCTTTGGTCATCTGGCTGGCTTACCCCTCCACTCCTTTAAAAATTACGGTTATGATTATACCCATTTTATAATTATATATACCTCCCTTACCCCCTGCTCCATACCCACCTTCACGCCCTCCATCTCACCACAACAAACCAGCACACACGAGAATGTAACAGTGGTGACAATGGTACACACAAGGCTGACACGCGTCCCTTGGGTTAAGGGGAACGTCAGCTTGGAATTATTCAGCAGATATTAAGGAAGCGACAAAAGGGAGAGAAGCACTTAGCGCAGATGGAACGGGGATTGGGTCAAGTAGGAAAGAAACTCCCAAGGAATGTAAAGTGGGAATTATTCCGGGATATAAAAGAAAGAATAGCTGGAGAGAAAGATGAGTGATGGGGAAAATGTTCCCATCTCCGAGATGAGAGGGCAAGATAGAGCAGGAAGCTTCAAGTGTCATTAGCAAGAGAGATTAATTACTGGTAATACTAGCTACGATAATTTAGATAGGGACCTGTGCAACAAGAAAGATGTAGCAACGTTTCGCTTGACCGGGAGCTTTTCCAAGCCGAAACAAACAATGGCTTGATAAAGGTCTCTCTAGAAAAACAGTCTCTGTAAACCGATGTAAGTGAGCTCTAACAGTGGGAATACAGAGAAACTATTATAACACTTTGCAGCGCACTTGGTTTACTTTCTGATGGGTATATTACTGTTGATAAGTGTGCAACACTTCATGTTTACTTGGAGGGATATATGTCAGAATACATACAGTTAAAGTTGGCTTTAATCTCTATACAGTTAAAGAGATTAATGTAGTATCTTTGACTGGTAGTGAACAGGTGATATACAGCCTCAGTGACCCTCTGTGTACTCGATAGGCTTTATACCCAGTTATTCAACCATTAAAATATTATTATTAGTAGTAGTAGTAGTAGTAGTAGTAGTAGTAGTAGTAGTAGTAGTATATTAAAAACATGAGTAAGGGTTGGTAGATTCGGATATTAGTGTGGGTGCAAAATTGAAGTCGATGCAGTAGGTTACTGTCAACAGGTCCAAGACAAAGTTAACATTATATAGATGAGATTTTCAACGAGGTGATTCAAAAAAAGGGCTTTTCTTGTGATTTTTTATGTTAAAGGGAAAAAAAGGAAGGAGGAGGGTGGCATTAAGCTTGTGTGGAGGGACACTGAATACAAAAACCCAAAAAACAAAGCAAATTTCACAAAAAAAAAAATTTGTTTGGAGTTTATGTCGGGGAAAAGACGAATTAATGTGTCGGGTTTTTTTTACCTGCCGTTTCGTGTTTTTTTTTAAAAGGGGAATTTTTTTGCTTCTATGTATTTTATAAGTAAAATTAGGTTTTTTCGGGGTTTTAAAAGTCTCGTTCTGGATTTATTTTTTGCCTCTCCATTACCCCTTTTTTCCCTTGCAGGGGATGGTTTTCCCCGGGGGGAAGGCAGTTTTTTTAGGGTAGTAATTTTTAAACCCGGGGTAAAAAGTCGATGTTGGGAAAAATTGTGTGTGTGTGATGTGATGTGATTTTTAATGGAGTGAGTTTGTGATTTTCCCGAATCAGTTTCGTGGCAGACAGCGGGGTTTTCCCGTACGCAACGTTGCTTCATACCTGTCCTTGGCCACAACATGGAACGGTGACCCCAGCACACCCCCTCCCACAACTTCAGCCTTTATGCGGGTATACTATTCAAATCCCGTGTTCCTATGCTGTGTACCTCATTAAACCTCATTTCCTGTCCCTCTTTACAACCTGGGGTTTCCAACAGTTCCCTTTATTCTTTTACATTTTGTTAAGGCTGTACTCCCTGTAAGAGTCAGTCTTCTCTCGGGAAATTTATCATTGCCGTAAGACTGGAAAAAAATCTAAGGGTTTTCAGTTTAAGTTTAAAGCACTTTTTTTTTTTTTTTTTTTTTTTTTGAAGAGAAAGTAAGTCTAGTGGCAATAAAAAAGGGCATTCAAATGTATGATAGTAAACTACTTGGGTATTTTAAAATTATAAACCCCAAGACACATGACGTTTTTTCGAATTTGGGGCATGACGCCAGTTCCAGTAGCATAACGTTGCCACTGGGGCAGTGAAGATGGAAGACGACGGTAAGGTGTTTGATTTAAATGAAAACCCATTTAAAATTTTAGCGAATCGTATTGGTGGCTTATTTGATTTTACGTATTTTTTTGCGACATATATAACTTTCAGTTTACAATTGTGTATGTTCCCCTGCGTACTACGGTGAAAATGGAGGGGGGCAAGGTTCAGACGGGAAGGATGGGGCTGGGCCGAGGCCCAAGAGATGGTCCTAAACAATCTCTTCTACTCACTCCCCAAAAGGACGGTACTCGTATCCTAATCTCACCCCCAAGAACTGAACAACAGTAGGCAGACGTTTCACCGTTTGCATCTTGTGACCCCCAGGTTGGGGTAAGGCCTCAGGCTCCCCCATCTCTTCCTTACCAGATAACTCGAAATTGAAACTTACGACGAAATTTCGGTTGACTTGAAATTAATTAGTTACACACAAGTTTTCCCAAAACGTCGTCATACGTTTCTTTTTCCTAGTACGGTTATTTGCGCATTTTCCCATGGTATTTGCATTGTTATTTTTTCAACTCTTTTGTTGTGTTATGTATCTCATTCACCATCATTTACTTGCTTTTTGGGGTCTTTTTCCCATATTTCTGTGCTTTTTGGGATTCTTTCCCCCACCATCTTTTACTGTGGTTAAAATCTCATTCCCATCATTTCTGTGCTTTTTGAATCTCATTCACCATCATTTACTGGCTTGTTGGTCTATTCCCCATCATTTTACTGGCTGTTGGTTTAGAAGCACGTAAGCAAACACTATGACATATTTATTAAAAACGTTTGGGTCCGGGGGCCTTGATCAGGCCCCGGGGACCGAAACTTTTTCTAAAAAATATTAAGTTTTGCTTACGTGTCTTTCTAAAAACCCACTTGTCGGTATTTTTACCAAGGTTTTACACTGTGTTTTTTTTAGTCTCGTTACCATCTTTTTACTGTGCTTTTGGATCTTATTCACCATTTACTTGCTTGTTGGATCTGGGGTACCAAAATGTACTGTGCTTGTATCCATTCCTCATTGACGAGGAATTGTGGTTTGTTGATTAATTTTCCCCTGAGTCTCCATGTACAAAATAGGGTTTGGCGTCTTTTAAAAATCGGCTTGACTAGCGGCTGGAGGTACCCCTAAAGCTTTTTTTTTTTCCTTTAATTTGTTGTTTCGGGAGGAACTGCGTCCTGACACGGATTTTAACCCTAAGATGCCCCTTTGAAAATCTGAAAGAGATGTCGATTAATTCGCTGTTCTGTACCCCAAAATCGGGATTTTTGATGTAGCCCTTACTTTCCCAAGGCGAAATTCTTGTGTTAAACAACAGGTGAGGTCATCAGATCCCCCTCCCTCATCAAGTCTGAGGTCCGGGTTTTTGTTTTTTGGGCAGCGATTAAGGTTCCCATTGCTTTCCACCACATATGGGTGCTCTTTTAGTTAATCCAATGTATCTGAAAATCATTAGGACTAAAGAATTACTCTGGCAAAACGTTTCCTGGTGGTGGTTTTGATAAGGGACCTCCCTTGATACCCGTAGCCTTCTGCGTGTTCTCCATTCTTATTAATATCCTGAACGGTACCTGGAAAGAAAAGACCATAGGCAAATTTAGGCAACTTTATTCCGAAAGTTTCGCCTACCAGTGGCTTTTCAGTAAAGTCAAAAAGAAAGGCGGGAGCAGTAAAAAAGTAAAACCCCCTTGAGGTGAGTTTTGGGGTTTGTCGTCCTTCACCCTGGAGAATTTTCTATTCCCAAAGTCTGGAACTAACTAAAGATCGAGTTTCATCATGTTGATTGCCAGTAATTTTGGCCTGGTTTCTCCAGATGGGCCCCGGCAGTGGCCCCCAGGTGGGGGGTTTGACGATCATTTTTTCTTTCTTGGCCCCCGGTTTGGGGAGGGTATTCTTTTTCCTATTTTGCGCTGACTTCCCGAAGGAATTGCGTTGGGCAGAGGGCAGTTTACAGGGTGATTGGGAGCCACCCCAGTGTGGGGGAAGCAAAGGCTGGGGAGACTTCAGGGTAAATGGTCAGGATAGTGTGCTAGAGGGGGTACCTCTTCAAGGCCCCCCATTCTGAAGCATCCAAAATTTCCTCTTTGAGGTGTCTGATTTCCCAAAAGGTGTTGGGTGTTGGCGTGGTAGTCTGGTCAGTCTGCAGGGTGTATGTAACATTTTTGGTCGTGGGTATCTTGACTGTTCCTTTGGGAGGTGCTGATGGATTTCGAAGACAGTTCTTTTCTTTTACAGGGTTGTGTAAAATTTACACCCTTCAGGTATCGGATTGTTGTGGGCAGCAGTGCAGGGGCAGTGGACGTGAGGTGCATCCCAGTTTTTTGTGTTTTTCTTTTTTGGGTGGTGGCTGAACTGGTGAAGGAAAAGTTTTCCCCGACGGGTCAGTTGCTCTGCAGTGGATGCAAGCGGTGTGGACTCTCATTGGTGGGGTTTGCCGACGTCTCATGGTCTCTGATTGGTCCTCTTGTGTCTAGTGGGGGGTTTGACAGCGGTGGAGCAGCGGTGATGTGGTAATTTTTGCAAATAGTTTTAGGGTCTCAGTGGAAAGGGGGGTGATGCAGGGAAGTGAGGGGCCCGGGATCTTATTTAGTTTTAAAAGTTTATTTTGGTGTGTTTAAAGGAACCCGGTCAGTGCATTCTGTCATGACAAAAAAATGCAATAAAGAATCTTGGGGGAGTTTGGGGTGGTGCTGGCAGGGAATGTTGAGGACTTGCGTGGTTTTTAGTATCTTGGTAGGGGCTGCTTGAAACTTTGGGGGTCATTCTTGCAGTTCAACATTTTGGGGTTGAAGCGTAGTGCAATTCTTTTAAGTATGACCCCCACGGCCCCAGGGGGAGCAGAAATTCTTGTCTTGGTAGGGCAACTTTGTGGTGTGTAAGTAGGTAACATTATTGCATTTGGGATATGTTGGAAATTTTTCCCGCTTCGTGAAAGGGTGGGTTTATGTGGAAGTAGGAATAGCCAGGCCTCGCGAGAGCTCTGGCTGCCATGTTGACGTCAAAGAAGGTGACTTCAGCATGGGTGAAGCATTGGGTGTTTTTGTAATGAAGTCCACCTTTTCCCCCAAAGGGGTTTTTTGTTCGAAGATGACTTGATTTCTTCAGTGGCCTGTACGGATAAGGTTGTCGAGTGCTTGAGGAAAAGAGTTCTCCTGGCCCCCAGTGTGGGGTATCAAAACAAGAAACCTGGTCTCGTGGTGGTATAGCATAGTGGTAAGGTTTCTCAGCCTCTGTGTCGTCTTACAGACCAACAAAAGGCCCCCTTTGAGCGATAAAATCGCATTACATTTGACTTGCAGCCCGCCACTAAAGAAGCTGAAGTGCTAGTTTGGGCGATCATTGGTTGTGCCCCTCGGTTTGTCTTTACTCTGTTAGAGTAATGCATCGTGGTAACAGTGCCTGGTGCTGATAAATACTGGGAGGAAGGAGGTGCGAGTATGTAAGTATGAGAAAGTAGCCACTGATGGTCATGTCCTCTCAATCAAACATTCTCACTTGAAAAGTTTCCCAAAATGTTTTTCTTCTGTACTACTCTGCACCTCCCTTCGACAGTATTTAAGTCTCAACACTGCGCTTTTATCTTCAGTTAGTTTCCGACTTTGGACAGAAATTTTCCGGTGAGGGGGCTGAGAACCCAAATCTACGACCCCAAGGGTCTTCACTCTTACTGCTCCCCCCTCTTTTGTACCGAGAAGAAACCCGTGTAGGCGAAACGTTTCGGGAAAAAGTTTTCCTAAATTTGCCCATGTGTCTTATCTACCAACCTGTCGGTATTGTTACCATTGTAATCCCCGAACGGTTAATTGTCGTTCCCCATTTTGTCGGTATCAGCATACCATTTTTTGTATTATCAAAGCTTTCCCTTTGTAGCATTGAAAATAGGTTAGGATTATTTTTTTAGTGGGTTTGGCTTTTAAAGGACCTGCCCCGAGGCCCGCGCAGTGTTGCTCCTTTTTTCCTCTTAAAACAGGGGGTTTCTTTCTCCCTTTCTCTCCCTTTGGGGGTCGCAGAAATGAAACTTTATTACAGGGAGGGGGGTCCAAGTCGGGGTAGTAATAACCTCTGAAGGGTTTAGTGTGGAGAGAGGAGAGATAAGGGGGGGGCACGCTTCGTGATCGTCCTGGGTGTTAATAGTGGTTCTGACGCCCTCTTGGTGGGGCCAGGTTGCTGGCCGGGTAGTCCCCGGTCACCCGGTTCTCAAATTGCAGACAAGGGGGGCTCCGACTCTCTACCCGAATGGGAGGGGTAGCAATCTAGTTGAAAGATGAGACCAGAGGATTTGTCTTTAAGCTGGTTTTTATTGGGGGAGCTTTTTGAAGGATTGGCAATATGGTGGGGGGGGCTGGGTTTTATTGGCGCATTGGGAGGGAGTTATTTTTTGGGTAGCTTTAGGTAGAGGTCGTTTTGATAAGGCCCGCCTTCCATGGGCCAGTAGGCCTTCCGTGTTCCTCCATTCTTTGTTCTTTTTGGGGGCTGGTGTAAGCATGTTTGTAGATTTTGTATTTTCCCAAAAAGCGCCTGGGGGTTTTTGGCCGTCTGAGCTCAACACACAGTCCTGTCCGGATCATTTATAGGGTTATGGGGAAAAACACCTTTTCACTTCTTGCTATAGTTCCTTAGTCAGCATGTTCCCCAAAATCAAAGTGGTTTTTCTGTCTAGTAAAAGCGAAGTACTGCGGGGCCCGAGTTGTTTTGGCCCAAAGATACTTTTTCAAGTTTTTGAGATTTCAAAATAAGGGTCTTTATCGCATGTAACATTTCCCCTTTTCTCATCAAGGGTTTTTTTCTACCCATTTCCTTAAATTTAAGGTACTTCTCTCTTTTCTCTCACCCTTTCTCGCGCTCTCAAATCTTACTGGGTTTAGCGGCCCGAGGGTACAATGTGGTGGGGTGTTTGACCGGCTTGGGAAGAAAGTTAGGTATTCCCCCTTTACACCTCGTTTTTGCAGTTCCATCTGTTTTAAGTGTTTAAAAATTTGATTCATCGTACCATTATTTTTCTATGTTCGTCACTCTCTTGTATCGTTTCTTTGTTTCGTATTCTAATTTTATTGCATTATTGATTTATTTATTTTTTTATGCTAATTCGATTTTTTTTTTTTTTACCGCCATCTGTTTTTTCTTTTCCGTTTTCTCTTTTTCCTATCTTTTTTTTTTTCGTGCGCATGTGCGTATGCAAAATATATTAGTTGTACGTTATTGGTTTATTGTCTTCGTGAACTTTTTTTTTTACCTATTTTTACACTTTTTATAACAACTGTTTTGCGCACCTGTGTTTGCCTCACCTGTGTGGCGACGTTATGCGGTGAGATACACCTGTGTGGCGACGTTATGCGGTGAGATACACCTGTGTGGCGACGTTATGCGGTGAGATACACCTGTGTGGCGACGTTATGCGGTGAGATACACCTGTGTGGCGACGTTATGCGGTGAGATACACCTGTGTGGCGACGTTATGCGGTGAGATACACCTGTGTGGCGACGTTATGCGGTGAGATACACCTGTGTGGCGACGTTATGCGGTGAGATACACCTGTGTGGCGACGTTATGCGGTGAGATACACCTGTGTGGATACGTTATGCGGTGAGATACACCTGTGTGGCGGTGTTATGCGGTGAGATACACCTGTGGCAACGTTATGAGGTGAGATACACCTGTGTGGCGGCGTTATGCGGTGAGATACACCTGTGTGGCGACGTTATGCGGTGAGATACACCTGTGTGGCGACGTTATGCGGTGAGATACACCTGTGGCGACGTTATGAGGTGAGATACACCTGTGTGGCGGCGTTATGTAGTGAGATACACCTGTGTGGCGGTGTTATGCGGTGAGATACACCTGTGTGGCGACGTTATGCGGTGAGATACACTTGTGTGGCGACGTTATGTAGTGAGATACACCTGTCTGGCGACGTTATGCAGCGAGATACACCTGTCTGGCGACGTTATGCAGTGAGGTACACCTGTGTTTTGTATCACTGGTCTTCACCTGTGTTTTGTATTACTAGTCTCTACGCATCATCCACGCCCCACACGCCTCACACTCCCCACGTCATACACTTCCCACACTCACTCACCAGGCTTGGAAAGTCATATGTACACACCTCTCCAGGAATCTAATTATCCCTTGGAAACTGGCAAGAGGGAGGGAGTGGAGGGAGGTAGGCAGAGAGTGAAGGGAGGGAGGGAAGGTGAGTGTGCTTGAAAGAGATCTTCCATAAACAAACCACGAAACGGGTGGAGTTTGAACCCCAGCCGTTCCCTGGTTTGTTTACAATCGTATCATTACGATTTGGTGAGATTCCTTCCATCATGCTCACTACTACCTCTGTTTCTATTATATTTTCTGAGTTTCTACAGTGTGTGTGTGTGTGTAATTGATGAGTCAACATCAGGGCTCACATCTCGCCCTCACACATGGGCGAGATGTGTTTCTCAACGGTGATACGTGGATAAGTTGTGTCCATGTGTCTTTTTATGTACTGGTGTTGGCAAGGTGCTGAGCTCTATCTCTGGAGCTCTGTAAACTCTTCATAAACAATGAGCTCTATCTCTGGAGCTCTGTAAACTCTTCATAAACAATGAGCTCTACCTCTTGGGCTTTACAAATACTGTTCTCAAACACTGAGCTCCACCTTCATGAAAATTCCTGACAAAAGTCAGCACCGAGGTAGTGT